AAAAAAGTTTTTTCAATCAATTCCAATATAATCTTTTCCAGAACCTGTTCAATTAGTTTCATTAGAACTAATTTTAAAAAATATTCTTGTAACTTTTACCCTCTTTTTATATTGTAATAATTTAAGTATGTAAGCTTTCTCAGTATTTGCTTTTATTGTAATAAATGAATCTTAAGTTTTATAACTTCTGAAATAAATAAAAACTTACAAAAACACACTAGCCTTTTTKACTTTTGAGCATATAATAAGCATTTTTCTTTACCATAAGCGAAGTATGTATCCATATGGATACAGTCCAAAAAACACATTTGTGATAATTTTTTTTTCAAATCGAGCATTGATTGTTGTTGTTAGGGCCAACTATAGTAAACAATCAAAAAATTGGATTTTTTGCACCTGAGTAAAAACTTGTAGCGAAAGGGTTAAATAATTTTACATGTAACATATTTGTGACATCACTACTCCTCTCTACTGTCGGCAAATTTAGAAATATTTTTAAATTAGTGAGAGCTACAACTGAGATAGAAAGTTACTGAGTACGATCTGATCGTATTCCGCAAAGTAAGAGAGGAGAGGCAGGAACCGATAGGTACTATGAGATCAAAGAACGAATACAGAGCAACGACATGACTGCCTGCTACATGAAAAAATAGCGATGTAACAATGGCCGGCATGTACACAAAACAACACAACTGTCCATTTTGTATGTACACAATTTCGTTAATTAAAATACATAATTATATATGTACATAGAGATAAATATAGTCATGAAACCAAGAATGTTATTACAATCAAGTTACTGAAGGAGATGGACATCAAATAATACATGTCTAGGAAATTAAGATGCATAAAAATTAAATTTTGGGGAAATATCCTTTGGAACCTGAAAACTAATGAAGAAACGCATGTAACAAAGGCAAAAACTGTGCTGATAGCACTTATAATTATGCGAAAGTAGTACGACCCTGTGTCAAAAGAAATACTTAAATTTTCCGTTTTTTGCTATCTATAACTCAAGCTAGCGAATATTTTATTCAGAAATAGGATTGAAAAYACAAAAAAACTTAACATGATAATTCAAGAAAAAATTTCAATACACACTGCTTATTTTT